AAAAAATGTGCAAGAAGATTAGATTTTTTAATTTTAAAAACAATTTTTCATTGCAAAATACATGCAATATAATGTATATTTGATATTTAATAATAGTTCATTAATACTTATGTATTTCATAAAATATCTAATACTTTCCTAATATACTCACAGTCATAAAGCTATGTAGAATAGACAATAAACTACGATTTGGATTAAGTTCACAAATTGGTGGATTGTATTGTTCAGTATCAGATAGCACATGTAATCTGTTTCTATTAACAAAATTTATATAAAAATATATATTATATAATATAAAAATAATTACATTATAGACATATTATATAGTTAACAATAAAATAGAATTGTAGTAATTGTTAGATATTAATACAAATGTATAATACTTACGTTGCTCTCTTTTTAGATGTAACTATTAATCTTAACAATAATTTTGTGTGTGATTTGGTCACAGGCATCAAATGAGGATGTTGGGGAATAGTTTTATTTGAAACATAACTTTTACCCCGGTCTAAGAGATATATTATATCATTAGCTCTTAATGGCAAGTCATTTATGTTTCGTACCCAGCATGCTTGTAGTGATTCCTCATTTGCCTGATCGGGAGTTTTTAGAATACCGCCAACTATATCCCCGGTAAAAACAAAACGAAACCATGTACCATTCGCGCATTCTACTAGTATCAGAGTTGTTGGTGCTATCACCAGACCTGTCTCTTCCAAGACTTCTCTCTTCACAGCACTTATAAGATTTTCATTCTTTTCCACTCTACCGGCTGGTAAGTACCATTTTCCAGTACAAGAAGCTTTTGCTTCTTGTATCATTAACACTTCGCCTTGATCATTTATGACAACAGCGGCAACTATGTATGTTACTGTTTTCAAGCAAATGGGAATATGTGCTGTTAGTTGACCTGATTTTGCACCTGCAATATATGTTAGCTATATTAAAATTTTCTCTTTTTGAAAGAAAGAAAAAGGTACTCTAACAAGAACATTATAAAAGCGACTGCAGTACGAAGGTATCAGACATACCTGTTGTGTCACTTGCAAGAGTATGTACATTGAATATGTCATTTTCTAATGCTTGTCCGGCAAGCAACAATTGAACTTGATTTTCTACAAGATCTGACATATTTTATATATATATTATATATATAATATGTACACATACACTGAAAATAGTATCACGTCGCGTACAGAACAATATTTGATTGCAAATATATGTTAAGTTGCAATTTAACACAATCAGTGTGAAAGTGATAGCTATCAGCTGCCAGTAAACGCGTGGAAAGACGCATCAAAATATGTCAGTGTCGCTTCAGTGCTGTATCTATTACTGAAACATAGGAGGCACTGGAACGTCTGAAGCTACATATACATTCATGTGCCAAATTCCCTATGCGAATTGTTGCAAAAATGCAAAATTGAAGAAGAAAGAATTTTGCCTATTTTGGCAAAGTTCTCACTTATACTTATCAATTGTATTCCATTTTGTAGATAATAATAAAAATACAATAGTAAAAATTAAATACTCTCTTAAATCCTCAAACTTCTGCAGAAAACATTTTTGATATTTTAAAGATATCGCTCTATTAGAGCGGTTGCTCATCATCAGAACTGTCAAAGTTGAAGAATGTTATTACACATCCTCAAAAAGTATTCATATGTGATATAGCGTGAGCATAGTAATCTACAATACGGTGTTATATTCTTACTTGCGCCGTCATTGTGTTGCAGTGACGGCACTGCGAGGAAATACCCTGGACGCAGAAATAAATCGTGTGCGGAGGAGAAAGATGAATAAAAAAAGATCTAGAAGTATTTTTGATTATATAATAAAAGATAAAAGATATTAAGATCATTTTGCAAGCATAAGTAGCAAAATTAATATATCTCATGTTGATCATATTGATGGGTTGTAAGTTGTAATTAGTTGTAATATTGATCTAGCATTGTAGTTGGCAGTTTTAATCTATTCTATAATTTGACGGGCTATTTATTTTTGTATACGAGGAATCCAACTCTATATATAAAATGGACGAAGTTCTTTACAATTTTGTACTCCAACTTCAAAAAGCGCAGAAATGATAATTAATCAATCTCCTTGCGGTCAATTTGTAAATGTGTTTTGGCTAAATTAGTCAATTAACAAATTTTGTTAACATAAGATTTATTGTTAAAAATAGGCATAATTTGCAATGATCGATAACGCTATTCGATAGGGACCTAATTGAAAAATTGACTAATCATAGTTAATATCTTTCTTACATTCAACTATGATTGGTTGATTTCTATGCCTATTTCTTAATCCACTTTTGCTACTGTCCATTATAGAATGGACTTTACATATTCGATAATTACATCCCTAGATACTACCTTACGTAATCTGATGTTTTTCTCACAATAATAAACATTAAGTCCTTATCGAATAGCGTTTATCGGTCATTGCAAATTATGCTTATTTTTAGCAATAAATAATAAACCTTATGTTAACAAAATTTGTTAATTGACTAATTTAGCCAAAACACGTTTACAAATTAATGCATAATCTACAATGGCAGTATCAGTAACGGATGAGGGCTATAAGAGTAAGAAATTGACCAATCACAGTCGATTATTCTTCTCATTTTGGATTATGATTGGTCAATTTCTTGCTCTTACAGTCTCATCCATTAGTTTGTACATTGTAGACCAGATCACGTATTAGCGTCTAAGAGAATGTAGGAGAAAGAGTGCTTATATGAGAATCGGTGCTTGTGTGTGTGAGACTTTCAATACATTTTAGCGAAACGCAGCGATGTAATTATGAGAGGCCGGCATTCGAGATCCAAACTGAAATAAACTGAAAAATGGATGCTTTGAGCGTATTAATTGCGATAGCACTGATACATTGCTCATTATTTTTTTTTGATACGCTTTTTAAGGTAAATCATGTAATTATTTTATGACGTTTTGACTCTTGCTGTTGGATGCAAAAGATCGTTTAAAACGAAATAATGTTTTAATACATCGACAAAGTCTCTTTGGATTCAAGAAATTATTAATTGTCATTAATATCTACGTTTTATGTCATAAAATTCTTGTCATTAATCTCAATTTCATAATATAAATTATAAGTTTATCACAGTAAGGATAATTTGTAATATGTTTTTCAGTCCTGTTCACATTTTCCATATCTCTACTTCCTAGAAAATACTGGTCTGGAGATACAGATATTGAGAGTGAAATGGTTTACAACTGCTTTCAATCGCAAAATAATAAAATTGGGATTGGATTGCTCCAGATTCTGGATCGCTTGGTTCAATGCTGGTGTCATTATAAGCATTATACTTTTGCCGATAGCTGTTATCATTATTTTGAAGATGACATTTAACATGTGGCTAGCTGGATCCTCAAGTGATAATTCAGGAGCTATATTAGAACCCATGGTAGGATTATAGAAATGAAGATATTTAAGATCAGATATTTTTAAATAATCTTTACTATATAAAGAGATTTGAATAACTGATATTTAACTAAGAATTGAGTAAAATCAAGAACTAGTTTACATTCTGCATACATTTTATTATAATAATATATTAGAATATGATATTAATAACAATTACTTAATCCTAGTATTGTATAATATAGATTTTTAAAACTTTTTATTAATTTCTCTTTTTGTGTAATTTAATTTCATAATTTTATGTTTTAGTTACCAGGCGTGGATATTCCTTTCAATGAAATTGGCTATTACGTAACAACACTAGCAATATGTAGTATATTTCATGAACTAGGGCATGCTCTTGCTGCAGCGAGAGAGGATGTACAGTTGTTTGGTTTAGGAATTGTGATTGTTTTCACCATTCCAATAGCTTACGTGCATATAAGCAATGAACAATTAGTTGCATTGCCATTAAGAAATCAGCTACGTATTGCGTGCGCAGGAATTTGGCATAATATTATTCTTGCTACAATAACTGCAGCAATTCTTGTTTTTTCTACATGGCTATGGGCACCACTTTATAACATTAGCTCTGGGGTTTATGTAAAAATTATTTTACCTGTAAGTGACGAAGAAATATTTTATTAAAATATATGTTTATTTTATTATATTTTTTCATTGTAGAATTCACCCATATTAGGACCAACTGGTCTTTTGGAGTATGATGTAATATACAAGTTAAATAATTGTCCTGTAAAGCACAGCGAGGATTGGTATGATTGTATGCTGCAAGCAGTACAGCATTCTGCTCCTGGCTATTGTGTTAAGCAATCATTTGTTCAGGTAATTTCCTTAAGAGATATTCACATATGTTCATGATTTCATTGGTTAGCGTCTACTAGTATTTGTATTATTGTCAGTTTCAATTCTTACAACTTTATTATAACATCTGTATTATTTTTTAGGATTATGACGAGTCAGTACCAGCTAAGCAGAAAACAAATGGTGCTGTGAATTGTTGTACAACTGACAGTGAAATAAATGGCAATCTGTGTTTTGAATATATTGAAGGACCGCAAACTGCTCCTCTTCACTTACCTCCGCATTCTTGCCTTCCAGTAAGGACGATGCTTAACCAGTCACAGAATTTCTGTCAAGCTAGTCACGAGTGTTTATCTCACGATACTCATTGTATGAAACCTTCTTTAGATAATGTCACAAAGGTGAGTAGAAACAGAAAATATAACTTATTTTCTATATTAAATAGATTTTTTAAATCGTTACAAATTTTTCTAAAACAATTTAAAACTGCAGATTATACAAATAAAAAGAAAAATGGGCAAGGATGTATTATTCTTTGGTCATCCAGCAGATATTTACAGGACTGTTGATGTATCAGATTGGGTGCCAAAATATTCTTTCTTATATCCTGAATTACCCGAGTCCTTTGCGCTACTTTGCAAATATATTACAGTATTTTCAGCAGGGTTAGCAATCATTAATATTGTGCCTTGCTTCTTTCTAGATGGTCAATATATTCTGAATATAATTGTACTTTATTTATTGAACTCCATGCCACATAATAGAAATATCAGAGAAAGCACAGTACTTACAATAACAAGTATAGGTACATTACTTTTTATAACAAACTTAATGTATTTGCTTATTAATAAATTATTGTAAGTTAATCATACATTCTCGT